TCTCGGGTGTTTTCCTCATGGCTATAAAATGGCTGCTGCACTTCCAGGCAGCAAGGAAGTGTTCAAGGTAATAAGAAAGAAAGGAATGGTCCCTGCTACATCTGTCCTATGTGAGGGAAACAAAAACTTTTCCAGAGACTCTCCAACTTCTCTCTCCCCTGCTGTAGAATTCGTCTTATGTCACATTGGCAAAAAGAAAGGCTAAGAAAGTGTTTAACTTCTCCTGCTTTTATAGTAAAGACAAACAAAGGAGAATATGATTGGGAATAAATGTTAAGTTATACAGTCAATAGTGTTAGTCTCAGGTCCTGACTTCTTTCCAGGGAGAAAAGGCTTAGGGAGTCAAATTAGTGATTTGTTTTCAAACTTGTTGAGGTTAAGGAAACATTAAGATATCTAAGTGGAAGGGCAGAAGAGGTAGTCATTAGGACATAAATAATAGGTGATATTGTAGGAATGGATGAAATTAGAACAAACAAGGCTACAATAAAAGAAACTCCCAATGCTGACAAGAAAGTGAAACAACAAAAACTCATTCATTACTGGAAGGAATGAAAAATGTCACAGCTACTTTGGAAGACAGTTTGGTAGTTTCTTACAAGAATATTCTTATCATACAATCCAGCAAACTGCAGTCCTTGGTATCTATCTAAATGAGTTGAAAAATATATGTCCAAAAAATTCTCCAAATGGATGTTCACAGCAACTTTATTCATAACTGCCAAAATCTGGAAGCAACCAAGATATCCTTCAGTAGGTGAATAGATAAATAAACTGTGTACACCCAGAAAATGGAATAATAAACATTAAAACAAATGAGCTACACAGCCATCAAAAGGTATGGTGAAAGTTTAAATGAATACATACTGTATGATTCCAACTATATGACATTCTGGAAAAGGCAAAACTATGGAAACAGTAAAAAGATTAATGGCTACCAGGTATTAGGAGGAGAGAAAAATAAAGAGGTAGAACACAGAGGATTTTTAGAGTGAAACTCTTCTGTATGATACTACAATGGTAGATATGTCATGTACATTTGTCAGAATGCATAGATTAATGTGAACTATGGACTGTGGGTTACACTGATATAGATTTGTGAACTATAACAAATATACCACTCTGGTGTTGGGCACTGGGGGCCTGTACATGTGTGAAGGCAGGAGGTATGTGGGAACTCTGCACTCTCCGCTCAATTCTGCTGTGGTAAATCTACAACTGCTCTAAAAAAGTTTTTTTTTTTTTAAAGAATAATAAGGGACTAATCACATAACTTGGGAATAGGTAGAAAAGGAGGCACCAGCTAAAGAATAGCAATCAAAGAAAAAAATGATGAGGATATAGCAATAGAGAACTATAGGAAAGTTTTCAAAAGGGCAGGGCCAACAAAATGGAAATGTATTCTAGTTACATTGACTGGGATACTGAGTAGGATAGAGAATAAGTTTCACAGGTTTAATAATCAGAGGTCAATTATAATCTAAGAATGAAGGGCTTTCAATGGAATTACAGTGGAGAAGCTCAACTGTAGAAAGTTAAAGATGTATGATAAAGATGATAAATAAAATGGAAGAGGGAAAAAAGGCAGTATATATGAAATTTCTTAAGTCTGATGTCTGCATATTTATGGTTAATGTAAACTCATTTAAAAACATTAAATGTCCAAAACTGTGTTCTTCAAGAAACCAATTTCTTAACATAAATAGGTAAAATTTATTTTAAATGAGATAAGCTCTTTTTTTTTTTTTTTTTAAAGTAACTCTCAAGGTATAGACTAGTATCAGTATAAATTTAGCCCTTCATCCTAGGTACCACTGTGTTTTACTTGTTATTAGGGAAAACTGCAAACATTATAAAAGTAGGGGGAAAAATGCCATGCTAGCAAATTTAGCTAGTATAATTCCATGCTACTTCAAAAATAATGCTTATATGATCACCAAAAATCCGATTTTATGCTCTACCATAAAAAATAATTTAGGATTTCCAAGTTATTAGAATAAACAAAGACTGGGCGCCTGGGTGGCTCAGTTGGTTAAGCGACTGCCTTCGGCTCAGGTCATGATCCTGGAGTCCCGGGATCGAGTCCCGCATCGGGCTCCCTGCTCGGCGGGGAGTCTGCTTCTCCCTCTCCCACTCCCCGTTTGTGTTCCCTCTCTCGCTGTGTCTTTCTCTGTCAAATAAATAAATAAAATCTTAAAAAAAAAAAAAAAGAATAAACAAAGACTTATTATTTGAATAGCACTGTAATATTAAAAAGTATTTCCTTGTATGATAATCATGTATTTGCCATAATTAATTGGAAAGTTCTATACAATGTATGATCATTAACTTGGATTTTTCCCAAACATATCTCTAGTACTGTTTCCTTTATGAATTTCAACATTACACAATTAAATAAAGCATTAATTTTTCAGCTCTTATCCTAGTCAAATTTACCTTTTACTCATTATCAATAATAGTACTATTTATGATAAAATACTAGAAGTATTATTGACTGACCGAAAGTTCCTAGAGACATTGACTCTTTTTAAAATTTCTTCCTAAAGCTTATTTAGATACTAACTAAATATTGAATGAGTTAACAAAAAAATGATACTTGTAGGTGCACTGTAAAAGACAGGCATACTGCTGAGAAAGGAGATGAAAAGCTGATTCATTAGATAGCTTGGTAATATACTTATTACTCATAACTTATACGGCAACTTGAAGACACAGTGTGCAGTAACCAAAACACCAAATAAAGAAAGAACATCATCCCTGGAAGGTAAGAATAATTTTTTTTTTAATTTTATTTATTTATTTATTTGAGAGAGAGAGAGAGAGAGAGAAACAGCATGAGAGGGGATAGGGTCAGAAGGAGAAGCAGGCTCTCCGCTGAGCCGGGAGCCCGATGTGGGACTCGATCCCAGGATTCCGGGATCATGACCTGAGCCAAAGGCAGTCGCTTAACCAACTGAGCCACCCAGGTGCCCATGGTAAGAATAATTTTTAAAAAATGATTCAGAATAAAGCAGATATAAATATATAATAAATTTAAGGTTTCTCATGAGAAAGGATAGCATGTATGATACTACAATGGTAGATATGTCATGTACATTTGTCATGTCAACTAAAAAGTGATTTGAAGCCAGTCTTATACAAGACAGACATTTTTAAAAGAGTGAAAATGAACACTGGAGCTTTAAAAAGACTAAATTGATGAGTTTTTAAAAATTCTCCCTCCCATCCTTACTCTACAAAAAAGTTAAGTTGGTTAGTGAATGGATGAAGTTATGAAGGATTAAAAGACAACAGAAAAATCTGACACTTATGCAGAAAAAGGTGAGAAACTAGAAAAGATTTTAACATAGTATATTTGTCAGGAGTAAAAATGTAGCTTTGTTTATATATTGTTTTATATAGTCTATAGTTTATAGAGATTTCTATTTTATAGGGATTTTGTTTTGTTTGGTTTTGAACTTCCTGGTTTTTTTGGTCTACATGTAACCTTCTAATTTTAATAACCTCTTAGAAATGTGCATTTCTTTCTCTCCATAAATAGCAGGTGCCATTTAATTCAGTTTAACACAAACAGACAACAAAGAAAGCCAGAATAAGGACTGTGGTATTATTATGTACTTAACAAACTAGAATTTAATTCTAGGTCTGTTTTATATGGAAATAGCCATGTCACATATAGCACATGAAATCTGTCCCCTGATGCTGATAATAAATTGGCATATATAATGGAAACTGCCTTTAAAACAAAGTTACTATCGATTTGCAAGTATACATTTGAAAAAATTATTATACTAAATTTTAATCATATGGCAAGTTACCCCAAGGAGGGGTAATTAAAAAGTGATCGAGAATCTACATTTCTTTTCTTTCCAATTTATTGTTCTAGTCTATAAATTTGAGAGAAAAGAAGAGAACGTGCATTAAACAATGACAACAAAGTTATCACAAATTCCTAACTACTCTCTGAAAATTTCAAAATGAAGCTCAACACATTTGTAGAAAAATCTGACTTCAACCAAACTTCACACTTTTTGGATAGATGAAACATTTTCCACTTCAAAATGTCACCATTTTTCTCAATTTTGGTAGATAATTCTGGTTTAGTGAGTTACACTGCTAATGCCATAATATTCTCCTGTAATTTGTAGCAAAAATGAATTTAAGACAACAAAGTACAATACAATATTCTTGATAGCACACTTTTTCTTACTACACAATCACAATAATGATGAATCTTTTCTGTTTCCTGGGGATATGGTTTTCTTTTTATTTTTAACCAGTTAATGAGAAAGTAAGCACCTTGAGGGCAGGAACTAGTACTATGTCACAGGTGCTATGCTAGGAATTGAGACAAAGACAAAGAAGGAGAATGGAAAGTCCTAAGTACCATAAGAAAAAATATGTAAGTAGTAGAATCAAAGTGATGTCCTTTTTCGTGATTATTGGATCTCTATTACAATGAAAAAGAACTTCTTGTCATGAAACATACACTTCACTTGTTTCAAGTTCTGGTAGACTATATTTTCTCTCTTTTCTTGTAATAAGTAACATTTTAAGAACTATTTCAATTCACAAACATATTCACATACCCTTCAGGGAGTGCCAGTTCTGTGGGTTAATAATACCACAAGATTAGTGTAATAAATATTGATGTGATGAAAAGGCTCATGGTTTAATTTTTTTCCCTTTTAGTGTGCCACTTTTTACTAACTACAAAAGATAACAGTATACCATAAAATCAGAAACAGAATGAACACATACCCAAAGTATTAATATACCACCACGCAAAATTCAGAAAATACGTTGTTTTCATGTACACATACACGAAATAAAATAATACCATAACAGAAGGGTGCTGTATCTGTGTTTAAAGAAGGGGTTGTCGGCAAACACCACAGCTCACTTCTGCTTAAATGTACACAACTGATATCTGCAGCACAGAAAGCTGGCACCAAGGGCTTACAACCTTAATTTGCCTGTAAGAAGGAATGGAGATTTACCTTCAGAGCACGTTCTTGATTGTTTTCAGCAGTCAGATGTCTCATGTTGTTTGCTGAAGTCTGGTTCTGCTCTTTCAGATGATGAAGCTCCTGCTCTAGCCGTTTGCACTGCCACAGGGGAAGAATCCCATTAAGTAAAGGAGTTATAGCATTTTTTTCCCCCAAACAAGCCACATGAATTAATGTAAATAATACCACTGCATTCTCTAAAAGACAAGGTATCTTTTGCAACAAGAATAGTAAGTTAAAAGTAATGATGAATATGAACATATGTTTATAGTAGTCTGGCAATTCAATTGCAGTTGTTTGACTTTTATTAATCTAAATATTACCATAAAATTAGAAAAATAACTTATTTTTTCATAAAATTAAGGTCAAACTACATTGAAAAATGTTTTCTTCACTGATCAAACAGTTTTTATTATGTATCTTTCGGCTGAATAAAAGCATGCTTCTAAAAATCAAACGGGGTTCTTATGTAAACCACAATACGATATTCTGTGATGAAATTTTATTAAGTTTTTAAAAATAACAATTGTCATAAAATATACAGTAAGAGGTTTTTTAGATTTTTAGAAACATCTAAAGAAACAATTGTGTAAGGAAAAAAGTAATAACTATAGAGTGCTACATGGTTTGGAAACAACTAAGGAAACAAGTGTTTTTAATTTCTTTTTTGACTAAACCTTATTTTTAAGTAAAACAAGTGATAACAAACATATGAAATGATATTCTGACCTACTGGGAATATATGAAAATTTAAAAAAATAAATTATAAATAAAAGCATAAATAGGCATCTATTTTGAAAAAAGTAACTGAAGTACCATTCCATTTGAATACAAAATCTTCATATAAATATATCAAACATTTTACACAATAATTGTACAGGATATAAAGTGATGTGTTGTCATTCAGGACCATATGAAGATATCTGGGGGATTAGCTAAAGGAATACAGTACTAAACCCATCTTCCAGGAAAAAGTTAAAAATTACTCCTTAAATTAGAATATTGAGAGCATGCAACTCTTGATCTTGGGGTCATGAGTTTGAGTCCTGTGTTGGATGTAGAGATTATTAAAAAAAATAAATAAACCTAAAAAATTAGCATATTTAAGTAACAACCAATAAATAAATACACATACTGATTCAAGACCTAGACAAAATTAATTCTAGATTATTTGACAAAAGACTAGTTGCCCTAATGAATTAAAAATCATTATTATTATTATTTTTTTTTATTCATGAGAGACAGAGTGAGAGAGAAAGGCAGAGGGAGAAGCAGGCTCCCAAGGAGCAGGGAGCCCGATGCGGGACTCGATCCCAGGACCCTGAGATCATGACCTGAGCCGAAGGCAGACGCTTAACCATCTGAGCCACCCAGGCGCCCTAAAAATCATTATTATGATACATTCCAGATACAGTCATAATCTAAATTGGCATCTGACATTGATTTCTTTTGCCTCTGACCTGTATAATATTCTTTAGCCTGTATCAGTATTTCTCCTGCTTGAGTAAGATACAAATCCACTTAAAAGAAAAAGTTTTACCAAACTGGTGATATTGACTTATATAATGATGTTTTACAAATATAACACTGAGTATACATGCCTCCTGCATATGTAATTATAAAACCAAAATACATTTATAAATGAAGTAAAATAATAATCACAAAATCAAGACTTTAAAATATTAATTTAACTTAGCAGATAAAGTTTTGCTGAAATTAAGTTCTGTAAATATAATACAGTACTGACTGATACAGTGGCAGATCATTTCAGGTTGCCATGTCTATTACAACATGTGCTGTGTGATAACTTAATTCACTTATCACATTTTTAAAAATTATTTGACTGAAACCTTTCTGACATGACATCATCTGGCCTTTATTTGGAAGGGACACATGATTAAACATTAAACTCTATAGCTGTCCCTTTTTAGCTTGTAACAATTCAAGTATTTGGTCACAAATGCAACCAAAATACAAATGTTTTGTGAAGACACAAATCATGAGGCATGAAAATGAGTAAGACATAGCAGTGAGCATCACAATCTAGTAGAAGTATTCTTTATTATCCTCTACATTTTCAATTAATTTTAATACAAAATTACTACATATTAAGTACTTAAATGGAATGACTAAACATGACCTAGGATGTTACAAAGGTGGGGTAGATAATTTGGTTATGGGATAAAAGAATGTCTCACAGAGCAGATGACATCTGAGTTGGGCTTATTTGGGGAACATGATTTTATAAGCTGAAAGAGGAAGAATACAGGAGAAAAGGTAGAAACATCAAGGGTCTATCTGGAGAAAGTGAGAAATCACAGTCACAAGTTGTCTGACCACCTATTTTTTGTGTTTCTAAGTAAATTAGAAATAACCCAAGGATAGAGACTTCTTTCCTACCTACATGATCCACAAAATACAAAATACTATAGCCAAACAGAGAAGTATGGTTTAAGAACAATAAAGCTATTTTTGAACCCGAGAGCATTTATCCACATTGCATACTTGGGCTCAGTTTTCATGGCCATGAAGTACAAGAGGGATAGAAAATAAGGCTCAGGGACCACTCAAACTAGTAAGTGTCCTAAAGGGCTATACTTTCAAGTGTTTAGTGATCCTTCCTACTTTCATGAATGGAAAGAAACAAGACAAATGCCAGAGAAAATGTATGTCCCTAAATCAAGAATAATGTAATTTGTTCTATGGTTTTAGAGTTTCATTTTGAAGTAACACCATTAAAAGTAACACAATATCTTCCCTAATCATATTCTGCCAAATATTAATATCGTTAAAAGTTCTACTGAATAAATTGAAACCTAGGTTTCTTACATTTTTATATTTAAATTTTTTTATTTTTATCTTTTTAAAGATTTATTTATTTTATTTTACAGAGAGAGAGAGAGCACACACGCGCACTTGAGTTGGGGGAGGGATGAAAGAAGAGGGAGACAAGCAGACTCCCTGCTGAGCGAAGAGCCAGGATGTGGAGTGATCCCCATGATCCCTGAGATCATGACCTGAGCCAAAATCAAGAGCTGGACGCTTAACCAACTGAGCCACCCAGGCGCCCCTTAAAAATTTTTTTAATACTCAAATTGAACTTAGGTAAATGCTATCTGTATACTGTTAGAGTCCCTGTGAACTAGAATTCTCATCATATGAGACTAAAGATAAAGACGAAAGATAAAATAGGTTAAATAAAAAACCCTTTAGTTCAGAATTTGCATTGGAAGTGTCAGTACAAGGATACAAAGAGTTTTATCTTTAAAAAAATGTGAGTTTATATATTTCCTAGTTTTGCCCATTGAAATTTGGTAGAAATAACAGGAAACCCAGTAGCAATGAGTACTCCCAGCACCTACCCTGTGGGTCCAAGTACCATTTCTTACTAAAAATATAGGACTCCGTGGATATATGGCTGACTCCAGCTCTGGGACAAGAAATGTACAATACGATCCAATAACACGTGTGCTTAGCAGAAGTTTTGTATTAACTATCAGTACTGAGGAACTATCAAAGAGACTCAGAAAGGACTCAGGAGACAACTTGAAAAGTCCCCCACAAGCTAAAGAGAAAAGAATATGATCAAATAAGGATAGTAACTGAAATATATTGTAACACACACTATATGTTTAAATTATTGAGTTTATAATGACAATAAAATTCTTAAAAAACTAATTCTATTACTATTGGGGAATACTAGTAAGCCAAGAATTCATCTACCCTTTCTTATATAAAGTTTACCACTAGGTAATCAAACAATAGATAAGAAAATCACTACAGAAATATTCAAGCTAATAAAAAAAAGGGAATGTTAGAATATCACAATTTTGAAATCATTACTATACTGAGATCATTAATATAGTACTGAACTGCTAGTAACATAGTTCTTTCACAAACCAACATGCATTCCCAGATAAAACACAAAACCACCTGCAGTCTTGGTAATAAAAATTAATCTAAATCTGATCAAGCCTATAGATCAAACTGCCATATGAATAGAATAGAGAGGAACATATTAAATGACACTAAAGAGATGCAATGAATGAACAAGGTAACTCTACAAGAAAAATTACTCATTTTGTTTAAAAAATAAATTCCAAGGGGGCATCAGGGTGGCTCAGTCAGTTAAGTGTACAGGTCTTGATCTCAGGATTGTGAGTTCAAGCCCCACGTTGGGCTCCACACTGGGCGAGTAGCCTACCTAAAAAATTAAATAAAATTTAAAAATTTAATGGATAAAAAGAGATAGAAGGGGAATCTATAAATTAAAAATAATGTTAAGAGTCAATTCAATCATCTGCAATGTGTAATTCTTTTTTTTTTTTTTAAAGATTTTATGTATTT